TAGATAATAGGCTTAAATACGCTTAATAACGCTAATTTATATACTTAATATTAACTAGGGTAAGTAAAGCTATAATAGTATATATATCTTTATTTTTATATAAAAGAGTATTATACTTATTAGCTTTCTCCTTTATATTACGTAATTCTTTTATAATATATTATAAAAGGGATTATTATATTAATATAATATAGTTATAAATATATTTTACTATTAATAGAGTATTAAAGATTATGATACTCGGGTAAAGAAATTTAAGGATATTATTAAAAGTAAAGTTTATAATAATATTTATAGCTAAGTATATTTAAGTAATAAAGACTAATAACTTCTTTTATATTTACTAATATTATTCTAGTATTTTAACCTATAAATTAATTAGTAAAACTAATACATATAAATAATATATTACTTACCTTAAATTCTTATCTTATATCTTTAAAAGGGTTTAATAGGTAATTAGTTTTATAGAACTTAGCTTTAATAAGATATTTTAATATAATAAATATATTATTATTAGTTTAAGAAGTAAATAAATAAGTAAGTATAGTATAGTAATAATTATATATAACTTTTAGTGTATTATTTAATTACTATACGCCTTATATAAAGGACTTTTATATATAAAACTAGTAAGAGAATTAAAATATTCTTCTTATAATTAAGCTTAATAATAAACTTATTAAATAAGTAATTATTTATTATTAATAAAATTTAATTATTGATTATTAAGTTATAAAGTTTAATTATTAAGTAAAGTCTCTTATATTATATAAAAGATAATTAATATTTATAATTCTCTTTAAATTAATATCTAATAGGTAAATTATTAGTAATAAAAAAGGGGAGAATAAATGCTTTTAAATATTATTATTAAAATTAAAATCTATAATAAAAAGAAATAATAAAAAAGGTTTAACTTTAAAGCCTTAATAAAGGGGTAATAAGTAAAAATAATATATAAAACTCCTATTAAATAAGAATAAGCGTGTAACTTATAATAGGGTAATTAATAAATAGTTTTATATAAAATTTTCTTATTATAAGATTACGTGTTTTTATTTAATATCTCTTTTTACTTTTATACACGAAAATACAATACAATATAAAATACAATACATAATACACTTGTATTTACTATATTCGTAAGAGCTTTATGTTTCACTCGCGCTTCTAGTAATATCTTAAAGATAACTCTTAAGATTACTATTAAGCTTAGTAATTTCCTTTATTTTAAGCCTACGAGTATTATTTTAATAATTTATACTCTTTTTAATTACTACTATCTTAGTAGTATAAATAACCTCCCTAGTAATAAGATTTAAAATATACGTAATATAGCGAATAAAGTAAATCTTAGGTTATTATTATTTAAAAGGAATATACTATAAAATAGCTTTATAAAGGCGCTTTAGCTTAAGGAAAGAGCTATTATTACTAGTAATAGATTTAACTTTCTTTAATAGGTAATATAATTAGAAATTATTCTATTAAAGATAATAAATAATCTCTTAATCTTAATCTCTTAGTTTTACCTTTCTTTAAATGTATTCTTAAATATATTAATTAAACTAAGAGTAATTACTTAAAGATTTCACTTTATATTAATAAAGTAATATAATATATTAAGTATTATTTAAGTTTAAATATTTTTAGTTTAATTATTAATTATTAATAATATTCGTAATTCTTTTATAATATATTATAAAAGGGATTATTATATTAATATAATATAATTATAAATATATTTTACTATTAATAAAGTATTAAGAATTATAATACTTAAGTAAAGAAATTTAAGAATATTATTAAAAGTAAAGTTTATAATAATATTTATAATTAAGTATATTTAAGTAATAAAGACTAATAACTTCTTTTATATTTACTAATATTATTCTAGTATTTTAACCTATAAATTATTTAATAAAATTAATATATAT